GATCTTTTGGCAATTTCCGTTACCACGGAAACCGTTCAAAACTTGCTTAGGAAACGTCGGCTGCGGTTTCGGGATAGGTCCTAATCTCTCATGAAATTTTGCGATTGGTGTGATTTTCATCCACTCTAAATAGCTGAAAACAACGGGAAGGAACCCGATTAACAGCGCATGTCTACGACAGCCGGACGTCCTCTGTTTTTCTGTTACATCAGTTTGATTGAAAATAGCAGTAAAGTATTCAAGGTTGGCTTTGGCCTTAAACATTACCAGACATGGTAATGCTAGTTATAATTGAATTCTCCGTCCAATTTTACATTTTGTGTATAAAATTTCTTTCTTGTCCGTGGCTGTTTAGATTTACAGTGACATTTTTTCAGGCAATCGCTATTATGTGGCTGTGTCTCATTCGTCATTGGCTGCCATCATGTTCAATGACAGTCCAATGTAAACAAAGCCAAAACGAAAGTTGCGCAGTTTGGTTGCGCAGAGAAAACCTCTTGTTTCTGGGAGGCAAGTTTTAATCTCAGCTCAGAAATGACATACAAGCCTAAATGAGGTACCGTTGAAAAGAGAGTGTTTACAGCTATCTAACTGTGCTGATTTTATTGGTGTAGAGGGCATTTTAAAAATTTCACTAAAGTAAAGCAACAATGCCCCTGACAGTTGACAGTGACGTTTGACAATTTAAATAATAATCTTTTTACATTATCTAGGCAAGATAGCCAGATTGAAGTGTTAATGCACAATTACCTTTTCAGATGCAGCAATCCTGAGATAAATTTGGGATGACCCCGACAAATTAGTTTATTTAAAGCCATCTAAGCTCGCAAATGTTTTCCACAAGTTGAAAATGAGTTATATAACTTCGTGACTTTGAGAAGACCCAAGTTTGACTTTTTAAACAGTCTAGTTGTTCAAAATTCTAAGGTAAAGATACGAAACAAAAAAATGTAATATGGTAGTACTTGAAGTCCAAGTAGCAGAAAGCAGGACATCCCACAAATATTGTGAACTGAAAGCGGGACATCCAACAGATATTATGAACTACAAACGGGACATCCCACCAAAATCTAGTAGAAGTTCGCGTAAGAACATTGAACATGAATGCTAACTGGGTTCAACAGTCTGTGATAACTAGATGTCACTGTATGAACATCATCATCACGTAGATGTAACACTAGTTTACTCAAGAACAAAAGGTAAAGGTCAAAGTCTAGACAATCAACTTTACTGCACGGGGGTTTATCTCTGCAGAACTGCTAGCCGCCTACCTGAGCGGCACACAGAGCACGAACTTCGTAGCTCCGGCGACGATCCCCATTAAAACTTACACCCGTGAACTGAATGGCGCAGCCGTAAAACGAACCTGTGATATTCAAAGCGCAAGGCAAACGGCGTGACCACTTCGCCAGGGCAAGTAAGAGATACTGAAAATTGGCAATAATCACAGTCATACCATGATCATTAATATAGTTGGCATCCATCTGCCGGCCACTTTCAGGCCGTCTTCGGTTGAAGAAGGTCCTTTGCAGAGCTTGGCTGCCATCGTGGCACGTCAGAAAGACCCTAAATTCACTGAAAATTTTTCTGCTTTAGTGATCACTGTCTGTGACATACTTTGGTCATTCTTATGCTGGTTGACTCCTGTCCTTTCTCAAGGAACCATCATTCCATACCATTGTGCAGTTTCTTTTTTCAAGTCAGATGGCCTACACCTATGAAGTCACATGTCAGCTGCAGGCCCCTCGTGGTTTCCCTATAGCTCGCTATGCACACTTCCCAGTGTGGGTTCTGGGACCCCTTAATGGAGAAAACAAGAATAGATCGATGTCTTCATTCTCCTTACCTTCCTGGAAAAGGAATTGAATAGACCCACTGCCCCCCCCCTCCCCTCCATGGTGTAGAAGTCGACTGATTGGGAGTGCATTTGCCCAAACTGCAAGGAACAACTAACTGCACAGAAAAAAGCCAGTAAAACGGAGCTTACAGCCAGTAAACAAAAAAGAAAAAGAAAGCTGCACACTTTGCTCTTGAGGACAGATTTCCCTGCATAGTTGTAAGCAGAGTGGATAGGTCTGCAGAATATGCTCAGGTGTTTGCGATTCCACACATGCACACTGTGTTTGGGGACTATACATTCTTAAGTTTATGCATGTGGCAGCAGTGTCTTGTTCTTAAATAAGCGATCGCAAGGCAGGTCAGTCTTACACTCGGTCCTTCCAAGCACTCATCTTTCAGTCTACAATTGCATATTGTCAGCTATACAAACGTGAAGACATGTGCATACTTCGTGTAGAGTGGCAAGCTTTACTTTAAAAGTCCCGGGCATCCTTCGGATGTTGGGAACTGAGCAGGCCGATTGACTGGCTTGTTCTGCACCAGTTGGTTGGAAAATGATGTATGACGTTAGATAATGTGAGGGCCCTTTGAGAACAGTTTGAACAGTGCAAAGGCGCAGATAAAACATTACGGTCCGAGGAGAATGGCGCAGCGAGGAGTTATCAGGGACTCTGGTCGATCTTTAACACTCCGGGGAAAGTAGGATAGAATCAGAAAGTTACTGGTGCCATCGGAACTCTTCGTGTGCTGCTAAAGATGGGGACGGAGCGCTTATGAGTGTTCAGTGCTATGTGTCGATTCTCAATTCCACATACCTGCCTGACACCCAATGAGTCGCAATATGTATTTCAGCAGATTAAATCTGAAGCTGGTTTGAAGATGAAAGAGAAATGACACTGGCTCCCAGATTTAGGTCGGCAAAATCATGGGAAGTTAAGGTGACCATCATAATGCTGACCATATCTCACACCAAGTGCTGTTTGGCCTATAAAATAGGCGTCTAGCCTTACATACTGCACACAATATGCCTGAAGGGTCCTTTACTATGTGTAAAAAAAGGTCCTTAAGTTTAATGCACTTACTTATACTCAGCTGAAAATAATCTTTGCAGCACGCATCTCTATTTACAAGATATATAGAGTTGGCCGTGCTTCGCAGCATATTAAAGAAACAGGTGTGCACCCATGACACGTCGAACTGCCAAAATCTTTTCTCTTCCCTGTTGCATGTAATTGACTCCTTTTTAAGTGGGCAATCGTCTTCTTGGGGTTTTAAATTCATTAAAATGTTTTTTTGTTTCATTGCCTCTTTGCTAATAGCCCATTGTTACTATTCACTATACATAACCTGCTGCAGGTGTTGGTAACTCTGGTGGCTGCCTTATTAATAGGTGTTAGTTTTTTTTAAATATGGGAAAGGACTTTTATTTTGGTTTTTCTACCACAGGAATTAAGCAATTATGAGTTGACCTGCTTACAATGCTGCAACCTCCAGTATAAATGGAAATTTATCACCAAGTGGCAGGTTTACTTTTGTATGAAAGGACTGACTCTACACTGTATAGCTATAGCCATGAAAAGAATCCAATCAGTCCACTGATAATTATTATGCATATGTTTTTTTTTTGTGTGGCTTAGAAATACTAGTTATCACAGGGGTTGTCCAAAAGCCTAAATGTATCTTCCTGAATCCTAGACTAATGCCATTTACTGTATTTTTATTTTTAAATTTCTATTTTCTGCATTTTAAAATAAAACCATTTATCTTGTCATCCGACTATGGTGCGCAAAGCCAGAAATGAGTTGTTGCAACGCTATTATGTTTCTGTACCATGTTGGGAGGTCATCAATTGGCAGTACTTCTAGCACAATGGACCGTCAACCCAGTTTCAGGGTAGTTCACAAATTATTTGAGCAATAGTGACACCCTGCTCTCTCTGACTGACTGAATTAACCAGGAGAGGATAGTTGATCAGCTGACTGATGAGTTAGGAGATGCCTACCAAAATGCAAAGTCTGGATTCAACTTTTGGTTTAACAGACCAATGCACCAAAGCCCTGGTCATCCACTGCACCCGAGTTCATCTCCAGACGTCTTGCCACGGAACTTAGATGGACCTAAGTGATGAGGTCAATGAACTGCGCAACTCTTTCTCACAGCACAAGTCATCCACTATGTAAACCATCACAGGCCGCTATTAAATTATTATCCACTCTATAGTTTTAGCCGGTTCCCCTTGCAATAACGGTCGCTACTTGGACGGCTGCTTAGTTCAGTCCCCTGGCTGCAGTGCAATTATGAAGTGGACAAGGCACGAATCACAAAACATGGTGTCTAGACCTTGCGCTGCAACTCACATTAGCCTAATCCTGTCATTTGTGTTGTTCCCTCCGTAATAGCACTGCAGCCAGGGGACTGAACTCTAAGCAACCATTATTGCAAGGAGAGCTGTTTTAGCCTGCTCTGCATTCTCAGTTAGCATGTCCTTTACAGAACGTTCACTCTTCACGACACGCTTGAAAGGATCCCACTCCACATGCACGAACATACTGTATTTTGTATCTTCAGGGAGGTTGACCCCCCAATTACCGTCTTTTCTCTGCGTTATTGTAATAACGCTTTATCGTTTTCGCCATTATTCTTTCCCTTCCATTATTAATTTAGTTTTTTTTTATCATGCTTGATTACAGTTAATCAGGCCATCCTCTGAATAACTGCCCAAAAACAGGGCCTCAAAGTCACATGTAACTATACTGCCAAGATTGGGACTGAACTAAATGGCTGGGATTCACATGCAAAGTTGCAGAAGTTGCTGCCCGTGAGCCCTAGCCATCTGGTTTAGCCCCGACCCGCGTAGAAGATACTCTCAGCAGTAGTCCGCAATTTACATGTGACTGAGGCCCTGTTAAATGTTTTATCCGAAAAAATTGAATTTTCTCAATGTATGTGCCAAAAGCTGTAAAATCTACTCTGTAATGCCTTTTAAAAACTACCAATTAACACTGGATGACAGAGCAGCCCTCACATACAATACATTCTTAAGCACTACAATCCAATCACTGGTTTCATTCAACATGTCTCTGAACCAGTCACATACAAACATAGAACAATGGCAGGCAATTATTTTAACAATGTTTATTATGTTGAATCTCTGACTGCCATTAAAAGAAGAAACCCAGAATTTTGCCTCCCAAGTGTTTCCTTCGGGCCTCCTCGTGGTCCATAATGCCACCAGATGTGGTCATCACAATAAAACTAGGGGAGACACACAAAAAACATTGTTAGTTCACTACTGGTGGGTGACATAGACATGGCATAACTAGCAAACACAAATTGAATGACTTACTTAACGAGCGACGTTTTGAGAGAGGAGGGAAAGCCCCGGATTGTGCACAGATCAGTTTAGCACACTTGTTACAGTAGCATTGTAGTGTCGCTTGTGACCACACATTTTCTCAATTTTGTGTTATGACATATGTGCATGAATCCTCCAGGCTTACAAGATGACATGACATTTAAGTTCATAAAAAATCAGTTTCTGCCACCCAACACCACTCCATTGGACCAGCAAGTTATTTCTAACTTTAAAAAGCTCTTCCATATCGTTGCCTGTCTCAAGGCAGGGAAAAGGGTTACCATAAGAACCCCAACATCTGCTTGGAGGAAGACGCGGATAACGAATAACGGCCCCAAATTATCGAGGCGAAAATATATAACAGAGCCTTAGTTGCGTGCCCTAAATTGTGCACTCCCGGCGACTTCCGTCACTGTCGATAGTAACCCCTATGCCACTTAAGCAGAGTAGATTGGGGATAAACTATGTTGCTGAGAATCACAAGCAGCATCTGCCTTCAATTTCATTTGCTCGTGGGGCCCAGCCATCTCGTTTAGCCATAATCCTTGCGCGTGAGCGCAAATGAGTGACTGATGCCTTGTTAGGGTATGTTTTTGGCCTCAATAATTTGGAGACCGTTATTCGGAAGAGAGCTAAAAAAGCTTTGGCCAGAGAGCGATGTCGATTTGTCACTTTGGGGGGGTTTGAGACAGTACCGGTGGAACCTGTAGTCAACGAGATTATGTCTTTGGTCACTATCATGGGATTGTATGTGGATATAACAGTGATATCGAAGAGCACAGCCAGGAGCTGACCACCGAAAAGCTTATAGAGATGCATTGTGTTTCACAGCAAAAAGTTTTTCAGAGGAGTAGTAGGAGTTAACAGAAAAGCAACAATCTGCTGGTGAAATAAGAGAAATGCTGAAAGCATGGGAAATTTACATCCCACATTAAGAAGCATCACCCTAATAATGAAGTGGCTATAGGCGCTAAAAATTTATTAAATAATAATGCTGTGTCGTTTTTTTTTGTCAAATTGTGAAGTGTCGGCAAAAGCAAATGTCTTAGGATGTCTTTCTAGTTTATTTTTTTTTTAGCTTTGTATAATTATTTTGACTTTTTCCTGCAAATCAAACTTGCATTCTATGTGGGTTCGTTCCGCGTTTGAAGAAAAGATGATTCACTCTCCTTAACAATATGTATATAAATTTCTTTGAATAAATGTTATACATAGCAATTTGTGGTGTCAATCAAAGAGTGATTCTGGAACGAATTATGCTCGTTAAGCAAAGCTCCACTGTACTTGGTGGGACATCTGCCTAGAAAGAGATACCTTTCTTGAACCCCAGCAGAAATATTTGACAATAAAAAAAATTAACTGAATTTCTTTTTCCTTATGTCCAGTGGCTTAGCTACGTTCTGTCCAGCTAAGCCAGTATTTGCACCTGTCAGCTGACACACTCTACTTAATCTAGTGTCTGTTGACAAGGGTAACCTCTCAGGTACTTTTGACAGACAAGCCATAGAGATCTTGCAAAATGTAATGTACACCTCCCCAAAACTAATTACTACTAAAAAATGTTCAGTTAGTGCTGTTTTTACAGAATTTGTCTACTGTGCCCTCTTTCATAAAAAAGAACGTGAGAAAAACAATTCAGCAAAACAAATTATAATTATAACTCACCCAAACTGCCTAGAGGGCAGAAGGTTGTTTGTCCACTTCTCCAAGTCCCTGATAGACACGTCAAATCTGGGGCTGACCACACCACACTGAAAACAACAAGTACCATAGTGATAACTGTACATTATTCTTAGCCAGGAAAAATGGGAATGACAGATTATAATATCACTACAACAAAAGGTTTTATTGTGCTGCTGGCACCTTGGCTCAGAAAGCTCAGAAGCTTTTTTTTTTAAATGGCTTTAACCCTATACATCCAGATCATGAACAGCACGGTTGTACTCAAGGTTTGTTGTGTTCTTTCTGCATTATATTACCCTTACTATGGCTTCCAAGAAAGTGAAAGCTATTACTGACAGTAGTGTTAAGAATCTTATTATGTTACAGTAGAAATGAAGTAATTATTACCATGAGAATAATATTCATATTTCTGATCTGCGCAATACAGTTAAATTTACAAGCCGTACTGTCTTGAACAAAAATGCGCTAAAGACAAGTTTTTTTCTTATACTGCAGGAATTCCCATTTAAAAAGGACGAGGGCAAAAAAGAAATCACTGCCTGAAGCTGAAATGTCAGTGCTGCAAGCTGCAGGGGCGGATCCAAGTACCTATGTACAATAATAGCTACTTTAGCTAATAAAGAATTCTATTTTTTTGTGTTGTAAACCTCTTGCAGAAAGTTCTTAAATGTCCACTGGTCTTTTTTCATTGTGTGCACATCCGTTTCACTTGTAAGCAAACTGGTAACTTTTAACCAGAAGCAATTCTTTAAAGAAAATCCTAGGCTATGTATTCTAACTTCAAGGATGCCACACACACACCCCCCCCCCCACTTGCCAATTAGTCAACTTGTATGACATGCTTGTCAGGGGAGGTAGCGGGTATATTCTTGTCTTCCTATGGGGTCTGGAACTCACATAAGGACATCAAGGGATAACAACCACATAATTAGTCTACAGCATTTAATTACAAGTCTTTCAAAACAAGCCTTGGTGTCCTTAAACCAGGAGTCCCAATATCTTAATCTCAAAATCGTCAATGATCTTTCCAGTGCTCAGCTTTACCTTCTGTCTACTGTTTTCTTCTGCATTTTTTTTTTTTACACCCTAGCATGTTTACACCTAGTTACACCCCAAGGATCCCTTCTCTGCCTTCAGAGCACACAGACCGTTTAGTACTTTTCCTTCTTTGGCATTCCGAGCCGCTGAGGTTTGCTGTAAATATTACCCACCTACATATCTAGCTAAATTTTTCCAGGTGGTGACATGTCTGAAAGGTATCTTTATAGTTTCCCTTGGTCTGCCACAAAACAATTATACTCGCTCTAAATTCTGCACAACGCTTGGGGATCAGTTGCATTTCTTCAAGACTAGCCATCTTTATTACAAATTTCAACTGCTTTTATAACAGAAAACAAACACTGTACCTTATTTAATCTGCCTGTCAGATTAACAACAATCTTGCCAGCTCTGTGATCGTCAATCTGTTCAAACTCCCCAATGTAACCTTGAATACAGAGACAAAAAAATCCAAATCAATGTGTGTGACCAACAAACTGCAAAAAAATATTTTAGGCCAATAGGATTCACTACAAGCAACAGATAAACCACTATGTCTCTTATCTGTCTGCTGGGGTGTCACAGTAATATTTCAATGTTGTCATACCCACAAATTTTTTTTAGGATGTAAGTTAACGTGGCGCTTGCTTAAGATTGTTCTGTGTTTTTTTTATGTTGCCACTAGTGTACTCTAGATTACTGAGACTCACAAGCAAATAGAATAAAGAAAGCTGCAGTAGCTGCTGCCTGTGAGTCCCAGCCATTTAGTTTAGCCCCGCTCCACACACACAGCGGCACAGGAGATACTCTCGGCGGCGGTCTGCAATTTACATGTGGCTGAGGCCCTGTTAGGGTATATTTTCAGCCTCAATAATTGTGGACCGATAGCCCCCTTTTTAAACCACTGTGGCGTTGTCGGCTATGACAAAAATATTTGTTTTCTGGCCTGTGGTGTCAACATTTTCATCATTGCGCGTAACAGAAAAGTTTTAAAGTATAAAAATGTACTGCAAACTCACCATGCTTCATCATGACAGTGAGAAATTTGACGATGACCTTTGATGCTGGCCTCAGCAAGACCTGGCGTTTGCCGCGCTTTTCAGCCTTGGAGATAGAATTGAGAGCATCTGCTAACACGTTCATGCGCACCATCTTGGCAACCTGGACAGAGACAAGGGACACAACTTTAATTGTGCCCTAAATCATGCTGTTGACATTTAACCTTTACTAAACACTGCATTAAAGCCTGCTAGAATATTTAACCAACACATACCTATACATAAGTTACTTTGGTGTAGCTGCTAGATTATTTTAAAGTTTAAATCAAAATGTAGTGGGGATATGACTTTGACTCAAAGGTTGTCTCAATCTGAAATAGGTTTAGGCAGAGTCCTGAAAGTAAATGATACTAGTGAGATTATCACCACATAAGCCATCGGCTCAAGTGCCGGAAGTCTTAAATATAATAGTCTTATCACTACACTACACAAGACACATAAAGAACCCTCCCCCTGAAACAAAAAATTGGTTTCTGGCGTTTTTGAAACGCATTAAAAATGTGTAGACAGAATTTAACAATTTACAGGTCTCTTTTTGTGACGTGTAACTAAATTCAAGAAGTTAAAACGCAACATTTACCTACACGTCATATGCTTCTTTTTTTTCCCGTTCACCAGCTGTAATTTCTGGCTCTTCTGGTTGTTTTGGACTGCAGTCCTGTTCCAGACCCTGAGTGTGCATGTTTGACAGATCTGACTCATTTGTATGCAGACTGCTGGTTCCTTGCCTTTCAGGGAGATTCACTAACTTTGAAGGAAGCTACTCTTTCGACATGCTTTTTGGGTAGGCAGTGTGTCTAATCTCCCCCCCCTCCATAATACTACTAAGGAACCAACACGGGAAACGTCATATGCATATAGTTCTAGGCTTGTACTGAGATAACTAAGACAAGCAGACGGATGGAGCAAAATAAAACAGTGAAAAGTAAATATTTTGAAATATTGAAGGCATCACTTTCATTAATCATTATTCTTCGACTTCGCGAAATATGGATCGAAAATAAACCACTTTATTTCACCAACATGAGCTCAATTTCATGAACCCTAATATGTAACACAATCAAATATGATAATAGATTCGTTTAAAAGGTTTAATACCGGAAAAAGAGTCAAATCTCTTTAGTAATATTGAAACACGAAATACTTTATCTACGCGTGCAATCAAACAATGGACATTGGGTGTCTACTTTAAATTACACTGCAGCAAAAGAAATACCTGAAATATACAAGAATAACACTAAATGGAAAACTAATTATACCACTGTGTTGATAAAACCAAATAAGTGCGTAAGTTATCACAGAATGCTTGGATGAGAAACGATTTTCAAAATGGCACGAAAGAAAACCAACCTTCTCGGTGACTGCTTCGGGTGAAAAAAGAACGTTAATTCAGGTGTATTTCCGGTTGTTAACATTACTACTTCCGGTAACAGTAGTTACTTCCCCTAATCACCCTAGAGTCAAACCTCCTTCCTGAACCACAACTGCTTTGTACATAAGCAATAATACATATAAAATTATGTTTTTCTACTTCTCTTTCAAGTCCCCTCCCCCTCCCCTTTTTTTAAAGTAGGGACCTTGGAGTGATTTTTACGTTATGTTGAAAGTTAGGCTGTATTATATACACTTTTTGGCAACACTGTCCCCAAACTAACATGTCGTATAAGGCAATTTATAAAATTAGAAGTTTATTGAAATCAAATGTATTGAGACAAAAGACGCAAATATCGCAGCCTTGTTGTAAGCCAAAACAGCGTCCCAACCACCATCACCAGAACCTGGGAACTTGACTGACTGACACCCGATGACACGATGTGCCACCATGTGGATGAGGATCACCGTGGAGAGGTCCCAGAAACCGCGTTCAGCCATTAGGCTATATTGCGGCCCCTGTCAAGAGCCAGGGTGGGGCTTCAAATAGCGAAAAATTTCATCCTAAAAAAGACGATAGATTATGATATGCCTGGGAACTTACGCAAGTGGAGGCCCACTTCAACTATCCCCATCACCCCCCCCCCCCTCCTATCCCCACCCATTTCCGGCACACAACACATTTTTAGTCTAGAAAACAGACTATACAGTGGCGCCTCCATGTGAGTCTAATAATGGCTGACTCTATTTATCTGGAAAAGGCTGTGGCATCTTGTACAGATGCGATCCTTCTTGGTATACCACTCGCCTGTTATAACTGGCGAGCCACAAGCAGGAGGAAAAGCACTAGTATTATAGGTTTACTCAGTTTTACTGGGTGTGGGCCCTTTTAGAAATACAAACAAATAAGAGACCGACAGATACTCCTGCCTCTATGAGGGAGCCATTTACCATGTATGAACTACAAAATGCCATTTCCAGGCTTAAGTTAAAAAAAGTCTGCAGGTCCAGATGAAATCAGCAATGAAATGCTAATCAACCTGAGCTCATCTGCTAAAGTAAAGCTGCTGGAAATTTTCAACATCAGCTGGGAGAAAGGTTTAGTGCCTCAAGTATGGAGAGAAGCCATCACAATACCCATTAAAAAAAAAAAAAGGAAAAACTAAGACCCAGGCTTCAGCAGCTACCAAAGCGTTTCAATTCCGATGGTACCAGTAACCATCTGATTGTATATCTGTTTCATCCTTTCCCTGAGTGTTGAACGACAGCCAGATCACCTGGTAACATCTCGCAGCGCCATTCTCCTCAAACCGTAATGATCTATCTGAGCCTCCGCACTGTTCACTCGCTCCTAAAGGGCCCCAATATCTAACAGGAGAAGATGTAAATGGCTTGGCCACGTTATGAGAATGAATTCTGATATACCTGCCAAAACAGCTCTCACATGGTCACCAGAGGGAAAGAGAAAACAAGGGGCGCCCAAAAACAACATGGAGACGAACGATGGAAGGTGACCTGAGTGCGGCATATTTGACATGGAAAACTGCACTGAAGATTGCACAGGACAGGAAAGCATGGAAAGTCCTCTCTGAAGCCTCATGTGCCACTAGGCATAACTAGAACTGATGCATCAATTCACCCTCAGGTGGTACAGAGTCAGCCAGTCTATCTGCCTGCTTATTTCCCAACACACTAGCACGACCTGGAGAAAATATCCAAAGGATGCTAACTACCCGGGACCTCTGAAGTGATAAATGGCACGTTAATGGCATCTAGTAAGGCGTTCAGGTGTGTTGAGACAAAAGGTGAATACGGTCACAGTCTGACGATAAACAACAACAAAACATGCTAATCACGGCCTAGCGATAAACAACAACAAAACATGCTAACTGCCTTTTTAACAGCGAGAAGGAGAAGAGGAAGTACGTCACGCTGTTTGTGTTATATCAGGACCAATAAGATAATAAAAAAAGCACCCCTGTAACATTCTGCATGTTGTACACGGACACTAGAAAGGACTGGCATGAGCCTGGACACTTAATTGTCATCATAGTCACCAGCACCACCATCATCATCACCACCACCATCATCATCACCATCACCACCATCATCACCACCACCATCATCATCACCATCACCACCATCATCACCACCAC